CAGCCCTTCTTTCTCCCATGATTGTTCTCTCCAAGGAATGTATCTACCTCAGATAAATGTTCACTTCATATGCCTGTCTTTTGTTTGGCTGGAAGCCACAGGTGTGGGTTCAATTCCAGAGCTGAAGGGCGGCTAGGGGCCATAGTCTCAGTAGCTCCACCAGGCTCTATTGGACCAGCAAACCTGGTCCCTTTTTTTTTCCCAAATGATTTTGAGTTTTGTTCCACATTGTTCTCCCATTCTATCCAGGATCTCATACATAGATCCCCCCGCCGAGTGGTTGACAGTGATAGCCGGGCACCATCTAGCTCTTCTGGTCTTATAGTCATATAGGCTGTGGATCGCCTGTTGTACCAGTCACTTGGACTAATTGTTTCCATGAATCTTTGGTTTTCTTCATTCGTCTTTGCTCTGGATGAGGAGAGACCCATCGTTACATCTAGATGGCTGCTTCTGCTTGCAAGCTTTTAAGATTCCCCAGGGGGTATTTTGCAGCTACTTGCAGGATATATACTATTCCAAGCTCCGTAAGATGGTTTGTGCCTTTTTATTGCTGCTCTTAGCATGGCATTTGATGCTCTCCATGACTTGATCCTTGCTGCTTCTTGGTTCTCAGCCTCTCCACTCCCTCAACCACAATTCTCATTGACAATGGCTTTGGTATAAGAAAGCCCACATGTGAATTCCAATCCTGGCCCTGACACTTAAGTCATTCTGCCATTAAGTCTCAGCTTCCTCTTCTGCAAAATGATGATAACCTTACCTGCTTTGAAAGTTTTGGGAGAGCAGAAGAACTAGATGGTGCCTGGATACTACTACTGACCATTCTGACCAGAAACATAATAAATAGATGGTCCTGGGTAGAGTGGGAGAAAAATGTAAAACAAAACTCATTTTTTTTAAGTTATACTTACTGGAATAGTAGAGACTATAGGAACATCTAAGACTATCATCTTGAGATATCCTTTAAACTGAAAACACACACTCCAAAGTTATCTTTCAGCTAAATAACAGATCAGCGTAAATATAAACAGTATCACTAGTGAGCTTGGTACTTCCTTAAACAAACAAACAAACAAAAAATCAGCTAAAAATGGTCAACATTTACCCTGAAGCAAAGATGCAAAAATGGGAAGATAATGACAGGGGATGTGACAGGGAAGCTAAATTAATGAAAATGGGACAATCAGAATGGAAATAATGAGAATGTTGAGATCTTGTGAAAAATGTAACCAACGTCACTGAACATTATGTATGGAAATTATTAAATGGAAACCTTATTCGCTGTGTGAACTTTCACCAAAGACAGTAAAATACTATAATAAAAAAGAAAGGTTTTAGGGAGAATTAATGAGGTAATAGCTGTAAAATACCTAGCTCGCAATATCGGGCACAGAGGCAACATTGAGTAAATGGCAGCTGTTATCCATCACACATTTCTGATTCCTTATCACCAGACACAAGGGGTGTTATGAGATCTGTAGATATGTTTAGGATTGAATAGGAGGGAAATGTTTTGAAATGCTGTGAAAGTAAAAGTAAAAGGTCACTAAGCTGAATCTTTGTGTTTCTCTTTAGGTTCACTTCCTTCCTTTAAAGTCTTTTTTACCTTTCTTCAGAAGGGACGTGAGTTAGTGGAGAAAATCCGAGGCAGTGGACAACTTAAATGCATGTTTGTTCCAAGGAATCTCAAGCCCTTAATACATCTGAGGTGAGTAATTGTTGCTGAGGAAAAGAGGGTAGTGAAAAGCTGAGTTAAGGGAACTCATTTTTATTTTTTCAATTCTTCCTATCTATCAAGTGTTGTTGTTGTTGTTATGTGCCATCGAGTCAAACCCGACTCATAGCGACCCCTCCTTGGGTTTCTGAGACAGTATCACTACGGAAGTAGGATTGCCCAACCTTCCTTCCGAGGAGTGGCTGGTGGGTTTGAACCGCCAGCCGTCTGGTTAGCAGGCAAGTGTCTTAGCCACTATGCTACCAGAATGCCTATCAAGTAGCAGTGTAAATTTACCATTGCCCGTAACACTTTACCTCCCAGAATCAAGAGTAAGTTTATTTGTGGGATCTAAGAATCTGTTGAAATAGGACTGCCTCATATTACATTACACAAATCTGATGGAGGGAATAAGAGATTTAAAAGAAAAAAAACAGTTAAAGAGTAGGATTTTTGTGTAGTGCTGCTTCAACAAATCAGTCTTTGTACATTAAGAAACTCAGATCTGTACTCACTACTTGAAGAAATGTGATGAGGTATTTTGTGGCATGTGTAATCCAGTAGGGAGCAAATTTTGTTCAAACAAATATTCCAAATGTTCAGACAAAATTATTTGCTTACATTGATGCTTATCAAAAGAAATAACCAAATAAATTAATTAGAAATAATTGTTCGTAGGTTCATAGGCATTCCATGGATGATATATAACAAGACATCTTTCTAATATACTCTTTTTAAATAGTTTTTAAAATTTATTTTGTACTTGTTCTTTTCTTAAAAAAAATTGTTTTGTTGCTGTTGAGTTAATATACTCTTCAAGTTTATAAAACATACTTTTCTTTTTCCCCCTCTTGTGAGAAGATGGAAGAAGAGCAGCACTGGGAAAGTACAGAGTTACCTCAGAAGAAAAAGAAGTTAGTGAAGCACAGGAGATATGTCAAGCCCATGGTACCTTATCAGATTGAAAGAGAAGCAATAACCTCTTCCTCAAGTGATACAGATCAGAAGAGATTCAAATGTGAATGCCATTACTGCCAGAGCTATATGGGGAACACTTCTGGGATCTCTACAGAGAGGAAATTAACTTCTCATTCTTCCTCCTGGGATAACCTAATACAAGAATTCACCAACTTGATGCTCAACTCCAGCATCATCCAGCCCCCTCTTCTACAAGAAAGAGTGCAGGAAAGAGAGGAGAAAAGCCTGCTCTTCCACAAAATGGGGCATAGAAAAGGGGGGAAAAGAGCTAAAAAAAAGAGGCAACAGAAAAGCAAAATAATACTTCAGAGGTTTCTGAAAGGGTGGGTGGAATAGACGTAAGACTTTAATCCTCAGGTGAAGGAAGATGAAAATGGATGGAGTCATGAGTGTCAATACTGCCAACTCCTTGGACAGAATCCTTGTGGGAACAAAGAGTGAATCATGGTCAAGAAGAATGACAGGACCAAGACTTACAATAAAGAATCCTATCAGCTAGCCATTCAATCTAGTTCCAGGAACGTACCAGTATTTCCTGTAGTAGTTTTAAGGTCACCCTGGGACATAGTGGGAGGAGCTACTCTATGGCTAGGGCAACTAGGTACCAATAGTACTATACTCTCCATAATACTGTTCCTGTGGTGCAAGTTATCATTTTCCCTCCTCAGGTTTTAGTCTTTCCTCTGTATCTTGTGTCCAGTAAGATATAAAACATCTGTGTAGTGCTTCTGACTTGCTGTTTTCAAAATGCTTTTATTCTATTTTATTGACTGGATCCCAAAGGAAGTACTAGGTCTGATGGAATGTATGTTATTTTTTAACCTTTTTATTTTGAAATCATGATGGATTCACAGGAAATTGCAAAGATAGTAGAGAAAGGTCCTGTGTACCCTTCACTCAGTTTCTGTCAATAGTGATGTCTTACATAGCTACACTACAATATTAAAGCCAGGAAAATGACACTAATGCAAAATGTATAGATAATATTATGTCATTTTTATCACAGGTGTAGATTTCTGTAATCATCACTGCAAACAAGACACAAAACTATTCAATCACTATGAAAATGTCCCTTGAGCTTTAATCATATTCACTGCTCTCCCCTGCACAATCCTTAACCTTTGACAGCATTTAAACTATTCTCCATATGTGTGTGTATACATATATACTTATTTCAGGAATGTTATATAAAACAGTCATGCAGTATGTAGCCTTTTGGTACTGGCTTACTCACACAGCATAGTGCCCTTGGGGTCGATACAAGTTGTTGTGTGTATTATTCCTTTTTATTGATGAACAGTATTCCATGGTAAGCATGTACCAGAGTTTCATTACACTTTTACTTGTTTGTGAAAATTTTGGTTGGTTCCAGTTTTTACAAATGAAGCCACTATGAACAAGTGTGGGGACATAGTCATTGTGTGGTTTTTGTGTGGACATAATTTTCATTTCTCTGGGATGAAGCTGTTGCTGTTGTTGACTCATGTTGTTGTTATTGTTGTTATGTGCCGTCGAGTCGGCCCCGACTCATAGCGACCCCTCCTTGGGTTTCCGAGGCAGTTATCACTACGGAAGTAGGATTGCCCAACCTTCCT